TCTCCTGCTCTAACTTTGGTTACATTGTTGTTATTTAGGTTATGGACTATCTTTGTTATGTTGGTCGGTGTTTTATTTTCTATTAATATATTTAGAATGTCTCCCAGGCGAACCCTGTCAAACGCCTTCGTCAGATCAATGAAGCAAATATACGCTGGCATGCCGAACTCTATAGCTTTTTCTTTTATTTGTTTAATTATGAATACTGCATCTGTTATAGACCGCCCTCTTGTAAAACCTTGTTGTTCTTCAGCATTAGTGATTTGCCTTTCCAATTTGTCCTTAAGAATACTCGTGAAAAGTTTCATCGTTGTATTTAAGAGGGTTATTCCTCTGTAGTTTTGTGGGCAAGTTTTTTGTCCTGTTTTAAATATGGGGATTGTGATGCTCTTAAGCCATTCCTCTGGTGTTTCTGTGTCGTTTAAGATTTTGTTAAATAGTTGTGACAGTTTACTTGCAAGTTCAGGGTCTCCATATTTTAAGAGTTCTTTGGATATACCATCTGTTCCAGGTGATTTTCTATTTTTTTAGCTTCTTGATCTTTGCTTCTACCTCTTTGTCACTGATTGTAGCACTTATATCTGCTTCGTATTCGTTTATATTCAGCGTTTCTTCAGCATCATATAACTCTTTAAAATGCTGTTGCCATGTCTCTATAGGTACTCCCTTGGTCTGCACGAACTCGTTAACTGGTTTTTTCCTGTTCCGAAGCATTTTCCATACTTTCTTTTGGGCACCATGTAGGTCGTAGTTCATGTCGCTGGTGAATTTAGCCCAATGTTCTCTTTTAATTGATTTTATTCTTGCGTTTACTTCGTTTCTTACATGGATTAATGCGAGAGCTTCTTCCGATTGTGTGCTTTTATATCTCAGGTAGCATTTGCGTTTTAATTCAGACAGTTCTTTTACCTCTTGACAAAACCACGGTTTGGTGTGGTTTATCGCCCTCGTGTTAACTTTCCGTTTCCTAATTGCATCTTCTGATGCTTGGTTGATGCATTTCCTGATTTTTTGTCAAGTATCTTCTACTACCCATTCTGGTTGTAACTCGATCTCTTTTAGTTTGCTGGAATCCTGTTCTCATAAAGGAGTTTTGTACTCTCTGTTGCTAGCGACTCTATATTGTGTTTTTCGATGAGCATAGGGGGTTTTCTGTTTCGTTGCGGACGTTCTAGTAGCATCTTGCAAAAAACAAGGTTATCATCGATCCCCAGGTTAACAGATGTTAGGGCTCTGGAAAATCTATCATTGATCGCTGGCCTCGATTATTGTTAAAAGTGTATTTATGTTGATCTTTATGAGGAAAGTATGTGTTGTTTATTCTCATTTCATTTCTAGCGCAAAAGTCTATTAGTGCTTCGCTGTTTTCATTAATTATTTCTTCGCTGTACTTTTGTTTTATACCTGGTATGACATCGTTTCCGATACGTGCATTAAGATTCCCGAATACGATAATGCTGTGTTTAGCATTTATGTTATCTAAGGTGTTTTGTAGTTGCTGATAGAAATTTTCAGTTTTCGCTGTGGGCTTATAGAAATTTTTAATATTCTATAGTTGATGTATTCGATATCTTCGATGCTTTGCTAATGTGCTCTTTCTTGTTTAGCTTTTCTGTATATAAATAACTCTCCGTATTTTGATGTTCCTTGGCCTTTTTAATTAAAAAATTAAATTTAAACTAAATTAAAAAAAAGAAATTAAAATTATATTAAATTAAAAACCATCGGTGCGTGCTTAGATGATAAGAAAGCTAATATGCATTCACTCCTGGATCACTCCCGTGACACAGCCACATCCCGTTTTTAATAGTTTTTGTATTTTTTTCCTTTTTTAGATAGAATACATAGAATTTATTCGTTTGGAAATTTATACAATATAATACAACATTACACAAATTTATATAAATAGTTCGGCTAATGGATTAAGTCCACAGTCAAAAGAAACCAAGAGCACACACACATACACAAATTTATCTGAATAATCAAAAAAAAACTCTCAGAAATAACTCTCAGTGAAATTAGACAAGCGATGAATAAAATGAAATCCAATAAATCACCAGGAGACGATGGAATTGTGATCGAGGCTGTTAAGAATGGCGGTGAACCTCTAATGAGGAAAATAAAAGATCTCTTTAATCTATGTTTGACAAAGAAATCCATACCATCTGAATGGAATAGAGCCAAAACAATTCTTCTGTACAAAAAAGGAGAAGAAACTGACCTAGAAAATTACCGACCAATCAGTCTGTTAAATCATCTTTATAAACTTTTCACGAGAGTAAACACCACAAAATTAGACCTATATTTAAGTAGAGAACAAGCTGGATTCAGAGCAAACTTTGGAACAAATGATCACCAACAAACAATAAAACAACTCATCGAAAAATCTATAGAACATGAAATTCTAAAAATTCTAGAATATGAAATTCTAAAGTAATTTTGTTCATCAGTTAATTTTTCACACAGAGACTGATTTCCAAAGCCATTTTATTTTTTGTTTGTCTTTTCGGAATAGTAGATCCCTATCTATCAAAAATAGTTCCTTTTTTTTCTTTTAATTACTTTGGTGTATCTACCTTCCATACTTTTTTCAATAAAAATAGTTTTTTTAAATTGTTCACTGAGCTCAAGAAAGACAAGACAAGGTACTTTTTCTCCTTGCTTCATGTTTCGAAATATTTTATAACAGCGATAGAATAGAAGTGTTGTATTACATTATACTGTTCTTGTTAATAAATTGTGACATTTTGTAACTTTTCAATGTTTGTATAAATTTTAAATAAAATTCTGAATGTATATTTTTTTACCATAACTTTTATTGTATTTATTTAATGTATTTTATAACATCGCAACATATGCATTTGACATTGTTTCACATCTATATATGACTTCACAATCATTAGAACTGAAAAAGTGCAGAAATAGTATTTGCAAGTCCAGCCTCAGGTAATTATTTAATCCATTTAAAGGAACTAGGATTTTGATGGAAAAAAGTGGAAAACAACAGAAATATTTTGATGGAAAAATCTGAGATAAGGGCCAAAAGAACGGGATTTTCAAGAACACTCAAAAAATACAAATCTAAAGATAAGATATTTATTCATTAACAATATAAGCAAAAGTATTTCACAATTTTTTGCAGATATATAGTGATGAGACTTGCCTACATAGTTCCAGCACAGTTTAAAAGGATTGGATGATAGATGAAAGATATGCTTAAAATCTCCTGTATCTAAAGCATAATGACTGATTATTTTACACTGTGGTGATAAAAGTAGATATGTTGAAAACGCTATCATACGGAACTTAACCTGACTAAAAAGATATAGGCAATTTTAAAAAATAAACAGGCGAAAAGAAACACAACTTTTAAGTTGGCAGAAAGTTCAAGAGATAGTAAACATCAATCAACTAAATGAAACCAAGCCAGAGATATGATCAAATACTTGCAGGCATGTTGAAAAAACTGAAGAAGAGTATTTCAGCCAAAAATTCATTATGGATGAAGCACATGACCTTATTATAAATTAAGAAGACAGTCTGAAACAGAACTGGCTAATAGCGACAACCACTACAACTACAACAACGATCTATAAGCGCAAACACATTTGCTGAATTTCAAATCAAAATTCTAGTCTTTTCTATCATACATTGATTTGATATTTATTTTCCTCTAAGAATTTTTTCAGTTCTTCAAAGGTTTATTTATAATCAAAATTTGTGCAATGTAAATAATTAAACAAATCGTAAATATTTTATATCAACATTACTATAAAGAATATTTTTTTCAGCAAGATGATAGAAAGTTGTAAAATTCTATTACTACATAACATATTTTAAATCTTTTTTAATCATAATATGTTAGCTAATATTATAATATGACTTTAGTTTATCTTTTAAATTCTCGAACTCAAATTGGCTGATTAATTATTGTCAAGTTCTGAGAATTCACTTGTCTGAAAAACAACATGTTTTTGGGAAACATTTATCAACCCAAACACTTCAGAGTCCTTAAGAAAATGTACCTGTCCTTTGTGTAGCAAGTTTAAACTGTCATTTTAAGCTTAATTTACTGCTATTCACGAAGGTCCTAAAAACAGAACCACCCTAGTCAACTTGGGTACATATGTGTTTTCTTTCATATGATCGACCATTCTACAGCAACCTCTCGTAGGGAACACAACAGCATCAAGATCGAGTGTTCGTTTTCATCACATACCCTGAGACTCTGAGGTAAGTGAATCTCATATTACAGAATTGACAATAAGTTATAAAATCTGCCAATTGTTATTTGAATTACATTTTATTTTACATATATTTGCTACAAATATTTGCTATTTTCGCTACTTTTATTTACAGTCAAAGTATTGCATTTTTTTTCTTCATTATTATTTATCAAATATCATTTAACCTGCAACCTCTTAAGTTTAATACAAACAATAAACATAATACATATTTACTGAAAATACCCGACATTATGTGAGCTGTACTTTACACTATATGCAGATTTGACCCTGTCACAAAATTCAGTATGAAATTAAAATAGTTAATGTTTTTAGAATTCATTTTTTCAAGCATGTGTATTACTAAGGTACAAAAAGTTTTGAAACATGTCTAGTTCATGATGAGTTATTGACTATGCTTTTACTACACAGATGGTGCTGGAACATTTTGACCTGAATTTATGAAGAAAAGAAAAAAATTTAACCCTGCTGAAAGTCACTAAACAACTATAAACTACAACAAATCTCGCCTATCGAAAATACTCTAATAAAAACCCTTTTAAAAGAATCTATGAAGAACTGTAGAAAACTGAAATGTTTGAATTAGCTAAATAGCATAATTGTATCGAGTTAGCATATAACACCTTAGTTAATTCTAATTGATAAAACTTTAACTATATGAGAAATATCTGAATGGAATGTATAGTAAAAGTAATGATGAACTTACAAAAAGCTTGATTAACATTTAATTATTATATAAACATAATATGTACTTACTACGTCTAAGTGCATTTTGTGCATCCATTGTCATTGCATCAGCTTCATCTAAAATAATAAGCTTAAAGCCAGATTTGAAAATTGTGCCTGTACTGGCAAATGTCAGAATCTGTCCTCTGACAATTCCTATTCCTCTGTCATCTGAAGCATTCAACTCTAAGACCTGTAACAAACACAGGAAATATATTTAGGCATTTAAATTACAATGTAGATCAGTAGACATCAAAGAGGATGTTGAAAGCTCAGCACAATGATAATCCACACTGTTTAACCTGCAAGACTATTGAGTTTAATATTAATTATTGTAATACCTCACCATTACTTTAGTTTTTGAAGATCTATTGTCAGTCCCATTGCTTCCCTTCCACTACTAATCCTGTCTAGTATATTTTATCAGTGTTCCATTTTTTCTGCTATCAGAACTGTATCACCTGCATACCTGATATTGTTAATATATTTACTGTTTATTTTTATTTTATGCAAATTTATTTAGTGCTTATTTGAATATGCATTCACAGTACAAGTTAAAGAGCAATGGAGAAACTACACAGCCTTGTCAGACACCTCTTTGTATACAGATGTTTTAGTAGTGTTATCGGAATATTTTAAGGTTGCTTCTTGGTTCCAATAAAGGTCTCAAATTATGTGGAGCTTTATTTTCTATAGTTCATACAACAACTTTTCATGCTGGAGTCAATTAAAAGCCTTCTGGTGGATGATCAAACAGAGATATACTTTTTTTTGGTAATCCAGATATTTTTGAATGAGTCTTTGAGTCGCAAACAGTGGCTCTCTTGTACCCAAGGTCTTTTTAAATTCAAACTTGTCACATGTCTATTTCACATTTTTTATAAATTCGATTATGTATGATATTTAAGAATATTTCTGTACATGATAATAAAGAAATATATAATAAAGTCTAAAGATAAGGTAAAGAACATAATGCAGGCATATAAAATACTACAATTAGGATCACTATAAAGTGTGAGACAAAAATAGAAAGTTAGAACAAAATACAAAGCAGGAGGAATCCAGAAATACATATTAAAGCATCAAAAAAAGGTAAAAAAGTTTGAAAATGAACTTTAATAAGAAATACATCAGAATTATATTATCCACACATTTTTGCACTTACCATTGATGAAAACTGGGCGGGTGTATATAATTGTTTTGCACAAGCTAAAATTGTACTTGTTTTTCCTGTACCAGGAGGTCCATAGAACAGCAAGTGGGGTACCTGATCATCTCGAATAAATTTACTGACTAAAATAAAAAAAATTGACATTTGTAAAATATTTTCCTAAGTAATAGATTTGAATACATTTTTGTCAGAATTATTGATTATCTAAATATTTCACCTAAAATCTTATATTTTAAGATTTGCTACAAATTATTTCATCTACCAAATAGGAACAAGATCATTTAAAGATTTGCACTATTTAAATACCATAGTAAAATGAACACCATTCATATTCCAAATTATGAAAAAGATACAATAAATACAATCTCACCTGTTTTTATAATATCTTCATGAGAAACTAAATCATCAAGTGTACTTGGACGATATTTTTCAACCCTAGAATGAATAAAATCATTAACATTTGATTAAATAGACACTAAAATTATGTTATAGGCCGGTAATACACTAAAAGTATTGGTAAATGATCAAGAATACTTTTTATTCAGATAGATGATATACTTTAAAATTAAGAATCATATCACTGTTAAAATATCGCTATTCCTGTTAAAGGGAAAATACATTTTAGAGTAAAGGGGAATATGAAGTTTGCTAAAAACATAACAAATTGATTTGTTTCTCTCAAACTTGCAATAAACTAACACTTACCAAGGTAAATTTACTCTCTGAGATTCCTTTTGTACCATATTTAATAATGATAAAACAAAAATTAACGGTACTGATTTAAAAATACAATTATTTAAGATAAATATTTCAAATTATTTTTGAGGTTAACTCACAAACAAATAGCGGGAAGCAAATAACAAATCATAGAAATTAAATGTATTAACAATAGATGTCTCTGGCAGTTAATGTTCATTTTTTAGATTTATCTTAATAAATAATAATTTTCAAAAATCCCTTTTGTTCTCATATTGTATTACTTGATTTTAAAAGTTGAACAGAAAGATATAAACGAGATAATATCTTAATATGTCGTATTATTATTGTCTCAAATATTTAATTAATTGGAAATTTGGACTTTTGACATTTATTTCAAAATGGGCTTAAGATATGACATAAGACAAAAGACAACTGACGTCATTATTCATCTGCTTTGACATTTGCCATCCATATCCTATCCATCTTCATTTTTCATTTTCTAAAGGCAGATAGGTTGCCAGAAAAATAAAGTGGTGCAGTTTTAGAAACACTTAGAAATGGCTAGCTTATTAGCGAAAAGCTTTAGAGCAGTGTGTAGAAATTCCTCGTCTTTACGATCTTTCAGCACAAGGCCTTTGGCAGTCACATTAGTAAATAGATGCAATGATATTTTACAAAATAGCCCACAAAGTAAATCTTGCTCCTTGATCGATGTACAGGTAAGTTTTAGCTGCTAATTATTCTAATTTATCTATCCAGTTCATGAGAAAATACTGGCAATATAAATAATATTACACATGTAAGAGTAAAATATTACATAACATAACCTCATTTTTTGTTTGAGGCCGCTTTTGTAATTTTTTTAGAAAAAATTTGAAGACTGATTATTTGAGAGTAGTTTAAACCAGTTAGAACATACGAAAACCAAATTAAGCAAAAATGTTTGTAAATTAGTTTAAAATACTGTCACAATTGACATTCAACAATGTAAAATTCCTAGCTATATTTAAATCAATTTTATTTTTTTGTTTGTTAGACTAGATTCTATTCACCAGAGGTAATAAAAACTAAACCTTCTGAAGACGAAATCAAACAAAGGGTGCTGAAAGTGTGTTCTTCATATGATAAAGTTACTGCAGAAAAGGTACCTACTTATATCAATATTTTTTATTTCAGAGACTCTCACCACAACAGAGAAGTTACAGTTCTAAGCCACCACTGACTTTGCAACTCATTGGTGAAAGAGTTTTGTTAGTATTAAAATTGTATGACAAAATTAATCCAGAAAAGGTACAGTAGTACACATAAATATTGTTTCTAGCATTGCTAATGTCAGTTTTATTAAAAGTTATGTATATTTTTTAAGAGCTGTAATCTTTTCTGGGAATAGTACCAAAATAATTGGGAAAACAAAATAAATTTTTATTTTTTATTTGAATTTTTATGTATGGTAAAAAACCCCTTTTTATCTTATAGTACTTTAACCAAGCAGTTTCAGTATACTGACATCTTTGTCTTCTAACACCATTTTGAAGCTTTAAACTTTAATGCCAAAGGTTTTGTTGATGTGCTCGACATTTTCTGTTATTTTGAGTGACAAAAATCATTAAATGTATTAAACATTAAATCATGAATACTGAGATGCAGTTATTTTGTCAACTATTGTCCTCTCTCTAAAAATGAGTGAAGAGTGTCTTATTGGTGGTACTCTAGAAATTGGCAAATAATCCATTTCTTAGTTAAATATTCAAATGTTTTATTATATTATTCCAGAAAAGATCAAGATTTAAAAAATTAATGATTTTTGGGTTATTATAATTATTAGCTAAGACTCTAAGCGTTCAACATTAAAGGATCAATGTTAAAGTTTAGATATCATGATTTCATACTAAAATAAAAATGATTTAGCATGTTGAAACATAATATGATTTAGACCTGTTAACTTAAATTGTGGTTACAGTCTCTTCCATGTGATCTTTTGCTTGTAGAATGATTATTAGTAGTTTATGTTGAAAAGGTTTTTCTATCCTTTAAATTCAAAATTGCTTGCTTGTTCAATGATACTCAGAACAATATTCCGCAAATTTGTTTAGACATAAAAGCAATCAAGTCACCTATAAGTAAAAGATCATCAATTTTTCAGTATTTCTAAGCAATTTTTTTATTTAGGTTTTTATTTGTCCAGTTCTTAGAATAAATTTTACGAAATATATATTGCATTCTTCAGAAGATCAACAGGCTTTCAAATGTTTAAGGCCTACAATTTTCAAATGTGAGGAGGAGCTTAAATAAAAATATTTGTATTATGCCTTTACAAGCACTTAAACTGAATTATCTACAGTATTTCTACAAAAGTCTAATATAAAATCTTTCAGAAAGATTTCATACACATACATAATTGTTCCTCTTCTACTGTTATGGAGGCAGAAAGATTTCAAAACTGAAACCATTGTCTGTTTAAGAGATACTAAATACATGTATTACATATTCTGAAATGTATCTGGAATCTTTAATATATACACTCGCGATCATAAAATACGGGTCACTTTGAAACTCACTGATATTTCATTTTTAACAAGCTTTATCGTAAATAATAATGATAACACAGATACAAGCTAATGCATGTTTCTGAGAATTGTTGTCGGCTTAGCTGTTTCCTTTGTAACAAAGAATTTCAATAGTGCCGATTTCGTGGAAAACTATACACTTCCTAAAATGAATGCTACCCGTAACTGCTGCTTGTTTTAAATGTCTCATTTGTGCTTCAATTTTCTGTTCAAACGCAACAAATAAATGTTTATTATTGCAAACAGTTATTATAGTAACAATAAAACACTGAAAACTTTGTTTTCAAACTTCCACAAAATTTATTTTAATCTCTTATTACTACAGCAGTTTCAGCTGATTGTCTTTCTCAAGTGATCTATTTTTGGTATGCGTTTACATTTTATAGTCTCTAATGAAATAGGTTGAGGGGGGGAGAACTGTCTGTATCAAGTTGGTCATTCAGAATTATATCTGTGTTTTTTAATTTGTTGATTTCCATAGATTCTATCTAGCAAGGATAGTTTAAGTCCTTTATTTTGAATGTGAAGAATTTTGAATTTGTCATTAAAAGAATGATTGTGATCTAGAAGGTGAAGTGCGTAAGTAGAATCTGTTTTTCTATTATTGAAAGTTTTATGTTCTGCTATTCGTTTATTAAAGTTTCTACCAGTTTGACCGATGTAAGTTTTTGGGCAGTCGCCACATTTAAGTTTGTACACACCACTGTGTAAGTGTTTTTTATTTTGGCTCTTGTTTTTGATATATTTGCTTAGGTTGTTATTTGTTCGGAAAGTTGGTGTTATTCCTTTCTTTTTTATGTGTTTGGCTATTTTAGTTGATGTTTAGTAGTTGTGTTTGGCTGAAAACCTTCAATTTCTTACTATTGACAGGTAGAGAAGTAAAAAATTCTCGGCAACTCAGTGGAATGAGTTTGAAGTTGACTGGCCTACTTTATTTCTGCAATATCATATTTAAATAGAACATTATTAGGTTCTTCTGGTAGCCACGACAATTCCCGCATTTTATTAATTTTTACTGGATTAAAAGGTTTGTTCATTCCACAGTTTTTACCATGTCAGAAAATTTTATAAAGTCTGCTTGGGACATTTCTTTTACTGTGTAGGGTTGGCCAGTTGCTTTCGCCTTTTTTAATAATGTAATACATTGACTTGGGGTATAGACAGCACCCTGCCGCTTTTTAGCTGTCTCTATTACTGCATGCATACTATCTCCTTCATTCTGAGTATGCCTTTCTCTAAAAACCTGTGTGTTATCTTTATGTTGAGAATTTTAGAAGCATATGCAAACATGGAGAAAATAAAACGGTTTCTATTTTGCCCTCCACAATTGTCGAGTATAAGATGACACTTTCAACCCCTTAGTTTTTTGTGTCCTCAGAAAGTCTAACAAGCAACTACTAATTTCATTTGGTACTCGTTTCGCCACCTCTTCATACCAAACGTAACAGAATACTTTATTGTTACCTATGTCATAGATTGTAAAATTATAGGTTGCAATTTTACTTTTATAATAAAATGTACTTACTTCTGATTGAGGGGTAACTAATATCTTTTGTAGGTCAAAACACGCAACACATAAAGTTTTATCCTCAGTAGCTAGTTCTTTATCCACATCTTTCAATTTTCGGACTGCAACTTTGTTAGCCAAGTGTTGATCACATTTTTCTTGCAATTTCAATTTTATGTCATAATCAGCATCTGTATAACCCGTGCATAGTTGACACTGATCTTTTTTGTTTTAAATAATGCTATATTGAATTCCAAGTTGAAAATTTCATGATATTGCTGTTCACTTGCAATCTGTACTGAATTGGTTCCAATATGCTCTCTGTACATTTTACTAATATTTAAACTATCTTCCAAACACATTTTCTTTGAATGTTTTCTATTATAATGGGAAGGAACTAATGGCAACAATTTAATATTCTTACACTTACTCTTAGAGTTCTTACACTTTCCTTAATATCTTCTACAATTTTATTGGGTCTTACAGTATGGCGTCCCTGCATATCCTTTTCTAAAGTGCCACCTTCTCCAATTTTTTTCAAGGCAGTTGTAACCCAGGTTTCTGATATACCCAGTTTGTTTAAAAACATTGTTTTACAAATTTTTATTCTTTTATTATCAAGCAGAAAATTATATTCTCGGGAAAAATTGCGCCTTGACTCGTTTTCTTTATTACCTGTCTCTTTTCTCTTTGATGAACATATTTTGTTAATAAATCCCATTGCCTGATATGGTCTCCAATAATTTTCAAATATTTTTTGCCTATTTTCCAAAAATTTTTCTGTGCACCCATTTCTGCAATTCTCGTTGCATGGTGCTTTCATGATCCTAGATGGAATTACTTTGCCTGCTCTATTTTCATGTTTATTTCCTACATTAAGTTCTTTTTTAGCCTTATTGTCTTTCCACTCCTGTTGATTTCTTACACACTTTCTTTCTTTCGTGTTTGTCATTGCTATTTTTCTTTTAGTTTAGGTTTATTACTACTATATTGTTTTTCACCTTCTGATTCAGCATTATCATCAGTAGGAACATAATGTAGATCCTTATCAGAACAGTTGGAATTTTCGATATCATGATAGTTGAAAAGACATTGCTTCTATACATAATTAATAATTTTATTCTACACCTCAGTTATCACGATAGAATCACTTTCTATCTTTCCTGTTGGTTCCACAGGTATTGGTGAAGACAGCTCTGTAACATTTAGAAACAATAGTTAAAACTGTATGACTCCTGAACTATATTTTATGATGTTTCTGATAGTAATAAGAATTCAGATATAAACAATACCTACTAGGTATTAATAGCTTTTATGATGGCAAAAGGAAATTTGAAGTGTTACCAAAATAATAATGTTATTGCTTTTGTATCTATACTTACCAGGGTCAGTTTGTTAACTAATTTTCTTAGATAACTCCAATATATGTTTAATTCTATTCATATTTTAAATTTGAAACACTGTTCACACAAAGCTCAAGCAAATATTTATGTATGTGCATAACCTCAAAAAGTTATTCACGAAAATGCAAACAAGTCAATAGTAACTCAAAGGAGCCACAGTACTATCTAGACATTTTGCAAAGAAAACTGTAGTAACTCAATATACGACCAATATTGTTTAAAATATGATAATTATGTAGCCAAGATTACAGTAACTCAACTTAATGCAGTTATCGTTGAAAATGTGGTAAGTTATTTGAGATACTATAAAACTGAATTGTGTATTTTAAGTTGACTATACAGCTGCTAGAGTTACCACAATATAATATGTTACAGCTACATATAGAATATTTCAGAAGGTAGTAACTCAAATCATACAAACATTGAGTTACTACAATTTTCGTTGCATTAGTCCATATTTCACTATTTAGCTATATCATATAGTATAGCTTCCCATGCATGACTAGATAAACAAATATATTTATTTTATTAAATTTAACCCTGAACATTTGTCTGAAACTATAATACCAACTCAAAATATAATTTTAGCTGACTTTGAACTCCCACTTCATCAATGATCTTGGATTAGATTCTCTAGACCATGTCGAAGTCATTATGGCCATGGAAGATGAATTCGGCTTTGAAATCCCAGATGCTGATGCAGAAAAATTACTGAGACCTGCAGATATTGTGCGGTACGTTGGAGACAAAGAGGATATATATGAATAAGTAATGAAATATGTAAAATATAAAGTAAATTACTGTACTCCTGTCATATAGTGTTATAATTAAGTTTATTAAATAAAATATTAAATTATTTCTTTTATTTTGTAGAAGCTGCACAGTAGTATAATAGTGAACAAGACTTTTATTGTCTCTCCATATATCTAGTTTAAAAATTCTGCAAAGATCTTTCATAAAAGTGTCTTTTAGACTTTATTTACAAGATAGCTGCAGTCTTTGTTGTTCATTACTCCTAATAACTCATCATACGGTACTGCCAAAATTGTTCACATTTATGGCATATACCGCAATACGTATAAGCGGCTTTCCGCTGCCCTGCATTGAAACAAAAATCTAATATCGTCATTATGTTTTATTTCTTTACTCTGGAGTACCAAAAACTGAATTCACTACGAATTTTAAACGTGATGAACGGCAGGTGGAATGCATATTTTAGATTCCTTTGCCGAGTAATTCATCAAGTTGTTTGCTTTGCAAGTTGCAGAAGGTACAGTGGTAAAAATTTGAATTCAGTTTCGCCAGGTAGGAAATCGTATGATTTCTCTTATTGTTCACACTTTGTCCACCAGAGGAGATGTTTGTATACCAGAGGTATTTAGATTAGATTAGGAGAGGTGGCCTTTCGGCCTATTCCACTGCGACCTTTTCAGATTTATTGTGGTCCTCTAGTCCTAGATAATATTCTCTAGCCTTTATAAAGTCTAGTAGCTTCGAGACTTTACCTTCCATGTAGCTATTTGTCGGTGTATTTTCTTCTCCTAATGCAAAAAACCACACATTTGCCAGACTGTCACACTGACATAAAATGTGCTCTGCTGGTTCTTCTTCGAGGCGACCGAATCTGCACAGGTCATCATCTGATAATCCCATTAGCTCAAGTGCCTATTAAGCTTACAGTATCCTGTTAGAAGACCTACTATGGCTTTGGCTGTTTTTCTGTCTTTGCTAATTAGGTCTGCCGTAAATTTTGGCGAATGTTCTGTAATGAACTGTTTCGCTTGTCTTTGTCCTGGTGAGTTCCTTCACCATTCCAGAGATTTGTGAGCTACCCACTTCTTTGTAGCCGTTCGTGTTACTGAGTTTGAAACGCCGCAGAAGGGTTCCGGTTCAATTAATAGCATTGATGAGCCTTGTTTGGCCATTTCATCTGCTTTTTCATTGCCCTTATGACCCTCATGCACTGGTACCCAGGTTACCATAACTTTGCTACGGTCTCCTAGTTTATTTAGGGCACACACGCAATCCCATACTAGCTTAGAATTGACCTCTACAGAATTGAGTGCCTTAAGTGCTGCCTGACTATCTGTGAAGACGGCAACTGAACAGAACGTCCTTTCCTGTCTTTCTATTTCTTCCACGCAGTGATGGATTGCAGTTATTTCCGCCTGGAAAATTGTCACATCCTTAGATAGACTTACCGGGAAATGTATCCCTTGATTTGTCCCTATATGTCGCTGACTATGGATTAATCTGTGCATGACTGATCTGGCTTCGCCCTGTATAAAGATATGAATTGGTGTTAAATTCAACAGGACTTCTTCCAACGATGCAGTAGTTGTTTTTATGGCCCCCGTAATACACAGGCATGCTAGCCTTTGTATATTACCTAGCAGCCTTATTGCTCCCACTTGCTGCGTCTTTGTCCACCACATCACCGATCCATAGGTGATCATGGGTCTAATAACCCTTGTGTATAACCATAGAGTCATTTTGGGGTTAAGTCCCCAATTCTTACCGCACATTCTTCTACATCTGTCCAGGGACATAGTAGCTCTCTGTGTGGTTTTTAAAATGTGAGTATTCCATGTAGGCCTATGATCAAAATATACCCCACGGTATTTTGTTTCTATGACAAATAAAATCTCTGTTCTTCCCAGCACTGGTGGTTTTAGGCCTTGTAGTGCTGTTTTCTTGGTGAAGTTGACGATTTGTGTTTTCTGGGCATTGACTATCAGTCTCTCTTCTTTGCACCAGTCGTCAACTATATTTAGGGCTGCTTGCATTAAGACACAAACGCTAAAATTGATCACAGTTTGGGCCATTTTTATCCTCCACCATGTAAAAGAAAATCTTATGTATTCTTCTCTTAATCTAAATGAATATAATGTAGAGCAAAGTTCAGAGTTTTGTGCAATTTATGTACCTTGAATAAAAACCAATATTTTAACTGTATACAGATCGGGTAAGATGACTTTGACACTTTTGCTTAGTAAAGCAGACAAACTGATCATACTTGGTGATTTTAATATAAATTTTAAAATTGAATCTGACCCTTCTTTTGATATTCAAAATCTATTGGTCTAAAAGTAACTATAAATGATTATATTAGAATTACATCCCAGTCCAGTAGTTGCATTGAAAACATGATAATTTTTTTGAAAATATTTACAGAGTGGGCATATTCGAACCTTGTTTTTCTGACCATCAGACTCAATTTTTATTTATTGACTCAGAGCATAAAGTTGTTGACACTAATCAAGCATTTCAACGGTTTATTACTTCTTGTTTACAGAATCTTAAACATACGCTAGCTAGTACAAAGATGGACTTTTTCTATGATATTAATAATGATCCTGATTTTTTGACAGTCTTTATTACCGAAGCTAATGACAACTTAATATTAAAGTATTTTTCATCAAAAAAAGTACGACAAACTGCTGAAAAAACACTCGTGCAATGGTTTAATAATGAATTAAGGTCTTACAGATCTAATCTTTCTCTTATTAAACGCATTGCAGATGCCACTAAGGAAACCGATTTGTTCAGTATATAAACAACAAAAATTTGAATATAATCGGCAATTACAAAATGCTAAAAAGTCAGCTTACTGTGAATTTATTACTTATTCCAATACTAAACCTAGAGATTGCTGGAAAATAGTAAATTTCGAAAGAAACAATACAAGATCCAGTTCGGTACAACCTGATCTTCGTCCAGACAAAATAAATTTTTTATCACAATTGCAGAGAATATAATTACATCTCTTCCCACTATTAATGTCGATGTCCTCTTCAATTATAGAAATTATCCTTCTTCGAGCAAGTTCTTTTTTTCGTCCTGTTGTGGAAGAAGAGGTCTCTCAAATAATAAAGTCTCTTAGAAATTTTAATTGTAGGGACATTTACGAAATAAATAGCAAAAAGAAACTTACCAAATAGTTTTAACACCTTTCACTAAACTTAATAATTTCAACTGGAGTATTCCCGGAAGTACTAAAATACTCCAAAGTACTACCTATCTCCAAAAAAGTGATTCCTCACAAACTGACAATTACAGACCCATAAGCATTGTTTCTACTTTTGGGAAACTTTTTTGGTTTTTTGCTATCAAACAACAATTTTATTCATATTTTGAGTCAAATAAGTAATTACTTAAGCAACTCGCAATATGGATTCAGATGAGCTCGTTCTACTATGAACGCGATATTTAATGTTGTGCGCAAGGTAATTGAGGGGCTTGAACGCGGCAATCGCATAGAAATTTCTCTTTGCTACTTGTCGAAGACTTTTGACTGCGTTTTACACGACCTTTTGCTCCACAAATTAAATTTCTACGGAATCGGAGGTATCCCTCTTAAGCTTCTTATCTATGTGGCAGACACCAAGCGGTAATGTCTAAAGGCCATCTCTCCGATTTTCTATCCGTAAAACATGGAGTCCCACAAGGTTTGGTCTTAAGAACTCCTTTGTTTATTATGTATTTCAACGATTTGCCTAAATTCATATCTCCGTACAATTCGCACATGATACGACATACGTTATGTCAGGAAAAAATAATGATTTAAAAATATCTTATGAGGAAGTTTCTACTAAATCTAGCACATGGTTTGCTGCAAGCAAACTAATACTTAACTCTGATAAAATGGAAAATTTGGTTATATCTGTAAGTAATTTACATAATGATCCAAATAAGAAAGAGACTATTGGGAATAACTATGGATAATCGACTGAACTGGTCGGCTCACATCTCATAAGTAAAAAAAGCTATTAAGTTCATTATTTGTTATTCGCCAACTCGCAAGGGTTGTCAACTTTGAAACATTAAAAATGACATATTTTTCTTTATTCCACTTTCACCTAAACTATGGATTAATCATATGGTGCAATTCAAAAAATTGCACTTCAAATTTTTAGAATGCAAAAGAAAACTATAAGGATTTTAGCAGGGGTTAGTTATCTAGAACACTGCCGACCTTTCTTTATTAAATTCAAAATTAAGCCGTTACCTACTCTGTTGATATTTCAAGTTCTGACTGAAATTCACAGAAAGCGGGCCCATTTAATAAAGCAGTCTGATGTTCACGTTCACAATACGCGAAACTGTGACTACCTACGAACAAATCGCTGTAGATTACCTTTCAGATAAAAATTATCTTTATAACTATTACAAGATTTTACCAAAAAGTGTTAAACAGCTAAGCTGTAATAGTTTCGAAAAAGTTGTAAACAAATATCTTCTGAAACATTGCTTTTACTGTTCAGAAGAATATATGACATTGCAGAACATCCACTGAACTGCTTACCGTGACTTTGCTAAACATCTTTTTCTGCTTAATACTCTGGCGCACCCAAGGGGTTAATCCCCCCAGGGCATATAAGTTAAAAATATATCAAGAATAGTAGGAAAATGTAACATGTCTTTCACATACAATACAAAAAATCCAAAATGCAATAATTATTGAATAAATATACAATAATTAATCATTATTATTGTCTGTTTTTATATATTCAGAAAGAACGCTTAAATTATAAGATTTGACAACATATTTAAGAAATGTATTAGCGAAGAGAGACTAAATGGTTTAGCTTTGATGTTTATCCATCAGGACATTCACATAGATGAAGAAGAGGTAATAAACCATACGGCTCTAAAGCAACGTCGTTTCTACATTTTATTATAAATTTAATTTGTTTACAAATTATTATTTAAAATACAGTGTAGGATTTAAATTAATATTGTTCACTATATTTTAGATATCTAATATTAGGCTCGTGATAACGAGTCTGTTGCGAGTAGCATACGCCTACAGGACTGTATCTGCGGCGGGCTATCACGGGTTGTGTTCCTCTGCATGTGTTAACAGTAAAAAGGAGACATCTCTATGAGAGAAGAGAGCATTTGACAACGGACATGAAAAAGAAAAAAGGGAAAGATCAATGGAAAGATGGTAAAAAGAGTGGAACATCGCCGAAGATGGTGCCCAGTGGACCAAGATACTGATCCCGAGCCTAAGGAACTGGGTCTGTTTTAGGGCGTATCTCCTATAGGTTCAGAAAGACAGATACATATAAATGCCTATACTGCGAATATTCATGACACTGTGACTCACGCAATGCTGGAGTGTAATAGATGTACAGTGGAGAGAAACAGAATGTATAGCGAAATAGGTATGAACCCTGTGACTGAGAGAAATGATTGAAAGATGACGGGAAGTAAGGTGGGTGGAATAGTGTTCACAATTACATACGAATGGTAATTAAAAAAGAAGAAGAAGAGAAACACCAACCGGCAGTAAACTGCGAACAAGTAGTAAAGGTGATTTTAGTTGGTAGGCTGGATAACAGATACCTGAATCTTTGGGACTGCTATCTTTAGTACTTTAAATTAAACTTAAACCCAAATCACCCCAAATTTGAAGGACCCAAAATGGAGTTAGCATAAAAAAATCGGTGGCCAACCAAACCCTCTTTCTCAAGAAAATTATAGGTGCGCCACTGGTTTAATATGTGTTCTTCTTTGTGATATATTTCGGTTACATTTTATATTCCTTTTTTATATACTATGTATTTTTTTTTACTTAGGATATTCTTCGTCCTGGGGTCCTTTTTCCTTCAATTTTACCTTGTAAAATGCATTAAAGTAGCTCGTATCTGGCTTGATTTCTCATTATAAGGCCCAAGTACTGAAGCTTACGGCTCTTCACGATGTTGACCAAATCCGCAGTTGTGGTCATTCTCCGCAGTACTTCTTCATTGGTGACTTTGTCTGTCCATGGTATCTTCAAGATCCTTTTGTATGACCATAGCTCAAAAGCCTGAAGTTTTGATAGAGTTTCCGACTTTAATGTCCACGTTTCTACTCCGTACAGAAGCACTGAGTACACATAACATTTAAGGAGCCTTATTTTTGTTTCTAGGGTGAGGTCATGGCTCTTGAACACATAACTCATAGTCAAGAATGCACTCTTTGCCTTTCCGATGCGACATTTAATCTCTTGGGTATTGTCCCACGGCTCATTGATTATAGTTCCCAAGTAATTGTATTGTGAGGCTCGTTCAATTCTCATTTGGTTCACATACAGATTTGCTCCAGTTATGTTTTCCTTGCTGATGATCATTAGCTTGGTTTTGCTGGTGTTTATATCCAGTCCATATTTTCTACTTGTTTCCGTTATTTTGTTCATTAAGTTTTGCAGCCCTTCTATGGTATTGGAAATACTATTGTATCATCTGCATACCGCAGGTTATTGAGCTTGACTCCATTTATTGGGATACCTTCATCAATATCTTTTAGAGCCTCTTCAAAAATGTGCTCCGAGTACAGATTAAATATCAGTGGTGAAATTATGCACTCTTGTCTCACTCCCCTTAAGATTTTAACCTGATCTGTATATTTTCCATCTATTCTGAGTACCGCTGATTGATTCCAATACAGGTTACCTATTATTTTTAAGTCTTTTCCGTAAATAAAGATTCCTTTATACCAACGGCGTTCACAAATCCAAACTGATTGGGTGCAATTTGTTCCTCGCATTTCCGGTAAATTCTTTTGTGGATGACCTTTAAAAACAGCTTCAGCAGATGGCTCATTAGGCTTATGGTCCTATAATCTTCACAAACTTTTGCTCCTGGTTTTTTAGGCAATGGTACGAACTCCGATTTGAGCCACTCTACTGGTATTTTTTCTGCATTGTATATTTCATTAAATATTTCAGTTATTTTTATTTGTTCTTCTTCTAATAGCTGTAACAGTTCTACAGGAATTCCATCAAGTCCCGGTGCCTTTCTATCCTTCATTTGTCTGACGGCTGCCGTTATTTCTTCTGGTAGGATTTCGGGACCTGAATTTTCTTCAATGGTGGGCTCTTGTATTGTTCTAAGGTCATGGAAAAGCTTCTCCAAGTATTCTTCCCATACTTTCTTTTTATCTTCCCTGGTTATGGCAAGATTGCCTTCATCATCTGTTATTTTTCCGCTGTTGCGTTTTCGGAACTTTCCAGCTATTTCCTTCACCTTTCGATGAACATTGAAGTTATCATATCGACTCTGATACTCCTCTATTTCCTGACATTGTTCTGTTTTTTGTTTCTCTTTGGCTTCTCTTATTTTTCTTCTGATGATGGTATGTATTCTCTTATATTCTTGGAGATTTTCTTTGTTTTTTTTCTCTGATCCATAAGTTCAAGTATTTCATCGGTCATCCACGATTTCCGTTTCTCTGTATCTTTCTTCAGGTGTTGTTCTTTTATCTCTCTCACTGTTTCTTGTATGATGGTCAGACTTTCCTCTATAGTTCCTGCATTTTTGCATTTTAGCACCTTTGTATTGAGGTTTTCACTCACCTTCAGTCGAACATTGGGATCTTTCAGTTTTCTATCATCATATTTCTTCATCTACTTACTTGTAACCTTCTTCATTCTGACTTTAAAGTTACCTACAACTGGTACATGATCGGATGTATGTACATGTCTGCCCCCGGGTATGTTTTGACATATGTACAGCTGTTCCTATACCTCTTATTTACTAGCATGTAATCAATCTGATTTCTTACAATCGTTCCCACAGAGTCCTGTGGAGATTTCCAGGTGTACAGTTTCCTTGGGTGTAGCTTAAACCAGATATTCATTATTACCAATTCATTTGCATCCGCAAAAATCTCCAACGTATCTCCCGGATCGTTGCGGTTTCCTAGACCAAATGGTCCAACTGCAGATGATGTTTTGCTGGCCTACAAACAATATTTGTTAAGTAGTTAAATAAACTCTAAAACTCTCCAGAGACAAATGTTCGTCACAGGAATATACACTCTATAGGTGTAGAGACATTCTTCTTTCTTTTTATTTACTTGCGACCAGACCAAGCTTTATATGTGTGAGCCAGTTTATTATAGTTCAAAATATTTTTATATTGACTTTTTCATTTTTCGACACATTCCCTTGCTTATGGAATTTTTTCTTTACATATCTTGGTCTCATCAACGCAATTTGAGCTTAATCTACCATCTAAAAATTTTTGTGGTACTGACTCCATTATTATTGATGAAGATTCTTTAGTCAGGCAATATGTCCTCGGTCTCGGAGCTTTTAGTATTGTTTGACAAATAAAACAACAACTGAAGTATCGAAAATAAATTATATATTATCTAATAGATAACTTTGGAATATAAAGGTTCATAATTTACAGTAGGAATAAAAATATTCGATCACATTGTTCTCTTAATATTATTTTACCCTATTTTTATATAAAATTAAATATTGTACTTATTAATACTACCTAATATATCATACAAAAATTGCCTAGGCATCGACCATCATGGCGAGATACAGTGCTTGTCAGTTGATGTTGCTCAAACGTCGAGACCTCGACCACGATCTTTCCCTAGCGCTGGCGAACATGATGTAGAATAAGTTTGTGCCGATGTTAATGCCAGCTGCAAGATAGAAGACCATTCTCCATTGTCCGAGGGTTTCCTTTAAACAAGAAAATTATTATTCACACATTTAGTCTATTAGTTAAATATTTGCACAAGTATGACATTACTCACGAATTATTTTATATACTACTCTCTAAAATTAAAGCACCACCTTAAATGTCTCATAAATAAACTCATAAATTACTGTATTAATGTTTTCTAAGAAATATTAACGTTTTACTCGTATACGGGGTGTAAAAATGAAGTTGTGGGTTTTCATCTTATTTTGCAACACCCTGGAATTTATTAGAAATAAACGCTATATATTGTTAATATTGCAATATAGCCTCATCGTTTCTCAACATTTTGGTAAAAAAATTATCTCTATTATCAATCATTATACTGAACTTTCAATGTAACAAGTTATGGACGTTTAACGCAAAGAAAACACTACTTACATAAACTTTATTATTGACATTTAATACAACTAAAGTGTAAGAAAACATAACCTTAATAATCTTTAACAAGTTCGTTCTCCTAAAAACACAACGAGTATTTCCGCCACTATTTCTAATCACTTCTTCACAGCGACGAGGCATACCTTAAAAGACAGATAGTGGTTATCGGCTCCTGAGTTCACGATCAATAATCTCCCACAAATTCTCTATAGCATTTAGATCAGGGCTGCAGGGTGGCCAGTTCACTGTTTGTATCCCAAACTCGTCCAAATAATCACGGACCACATGTGCAACATGTGGTCGAGCATTGTCATGCATTAAAAGAAAATTATTTTCTATTAAGAAGCAAATGGAATTACACGGTTAGACAAAATGTCTTTAATATATCTTTCACTTGTTAAGGAACTTCTTCGTAAAGTAACAAGGTCCGTACGCGCTGTAAGAGATATTCCTCCCCAAACCATTACAGATCCTCTATTGAATAAAGTCATAGGTCTTATGTTGCACTGTTCATAGCCTTCTCTTGGCAGTCGAATAACTCTTAGATGTCTATCTGAGCTATATAAGTAATACCTCGATTTATCTGTGAACAACACGTGCTCCCAGTCATCAACATTCCAGTCTTAGTCCAGTCTAGTGTTTCTACTAATTTGAATATTATGAACATCTGCCACTTGCATTTGTAAATGTCTCATTGTGTCAAAACGTTCTCATATACTACGAAGCCTAATAAACTGATATTGGCGTGGTGTTGTGACCTCTTCCTTGTCCACGCCATCTCGTATAATCGTTTGTTTTTCGAAAAGGTTAAATGACTAGTAATATTGTACTATGAGATACTCTTAACCTCAAGCCTAGTTCACATACATGGTGAATTGTAAACAATATTATCAATGTAACTGCTTTTATTAATGAGTATTAAAATTCGATAAAATTACGTTATGATTTGAACATACTTTTCTTTTTTAATAATAAAGATATCGAGATGATTTTCATACGAAAATGTTAAAAAATGAGGTCATCTCAAAACATGAATAAAATGTAGCATTTGTTAAGAATTCTAAATTTCACAGGGTGTTTCAAAATACGATAAAAAAACACAACTTTGCCATACACCCCTGTAAGGGTAAAACGTTGACATTTCTCAGAAAACATTAAAACAGTAATTACTTAGAAATAGATCCACAATGTAAAAAAAATCGAAATTCCATCAAGGATTCAAAAGATAAATAGCTTAAAAAATATGGTACAGTGAGGAAGTGCGTTATTTTTGGAGAGTAGAAAATTACGTAATGCTTAAAATGTACTTTTTAAATTAAGGAGAAAAAAGAGCTTTATTTTTACACCCCGTGTTTGGAAAAGCGTCCGAAACATATGGTCCCGGTTCCTGAATCCGATTTTAAATCGCCTACCTCGAATTAGTTTGCTCACCACGCAGTTTTCAAAAAACAAATTGTTAATTCATCTCTTGTTTCCAAAATTCGTGTTGTCTTCAACGCCAGTCTACGTGACGTTCGAGGTGTGTCCCTCAATGATACCTTATATACAGGTCCTAAGCTTCAAAAGGACATCTCTTCGCTTTTACTCAATTTTCGATATTTTCGTTACTGCTTCACATGCGATATAAAGCAAATGTATCGACAAATTAACGTAAACAAAGAATTTTGGAATTATCAAAGAATTCTCTGGAGGTCGGATTCTTCTAAACCTCTTCAAGAGTACTTTTTACGTACTGTTACTTACGGTGTTTCTTCTTCACCTTATATCGCATTAAAAACTTTACAAGAGTTAGCTGAGTCGGCAGAGTCTCGTTTCCCTAATGCTTCACAAGCTTTAACGCGACATTTTTATATTGACGACGGTCTATTAGGAAGTGATTCTCTGTCATCTACCCGCTCTCTACAGTTAGAGCTCATTCAACTTTTAAAGCTCGGTGGTTTTGAGCTAGGCAAATGGGCCAGCAACCATCCCAGTCTACTCCAAGATTTTGGTTCTGATATTCTGACATCTTGTTCGTTTGACAAAGAGGAACCTTCCGTTATTAAGGTGCTAGGCCTGAAATGGGACCCGTCGACTAACGATTTTCTTATTCTTACTGTCCCCTTGACAAAACTTGTACAAAGCGGGCTATTCTTTCGGAAATCAGTCGTATTTTTCGATCCTCTTGGTTTCATCTCCCCATGTCTTTTAAGGGCCAAACGTCTGCTGCAACAGTTGTGGCAATCCAATGTATCTTGGGATGATGAACCACCTGAACAAATACAACAGGTATGGCATCAGTTTAAAATCGAGTTACCTGACCTTGCGAACATTCAAATCCCTCGACACTTCGGCTTTAATGAATCTTCTAAAGTTGAGATTCATGGATTCTGCGATGCTTCAGAGTTAGGATACGCCAGCGTTGTATATTTCCGATTTAATACTTCTGACACATTTGAGACTGTACTGGTGTGTGCTAAATGTCGAGTGTCTCCTTTGAAGACACAATCTATTGCAAGATTGGAACTGTTGGCAGCTGTATTGCTGGCGGATCTAGTCGCCTTAAAGGCATTAAAGGTTCTTTAGTCCTAATCACATCGTTATTTAGAGCTGCTGTCAATAAAGTCACGATAGCGAATATGGTAGCCAACATGATATCCAACGATCGATAACGGTCATGGAACTAGAAGAAGAAGAAGTAATAATAAAAAATGAACAAAAGCCTCCCCTTCGCTGTTGGCAGTTGGCCAGAATCATTGAGTTGCATTACGGCACCGACGGTATTGTACGGGTTGTTACTCTGAGGACAGCTTCAGATGGCATCCTACAACGTCCGGTGGTCAAGATCTGTCCACTACCTATTTATTAACAACTATATTTTTTTTCATTTCTATTATTATCCAGATTTAGCCATACGGGTCACACTCCCTCTAAGGGGAAAATTCACTCATCCCAGATACCTACGGTATCAAAAGGATTGAGCTCTGGTGGGACTCTTTCCGTGTTATCGAGCCCTAGGTGACTTGGTAAGTTGGAGTATCTCCCAAGAATTTTCTTACACATCTGGACGTCACGAGGAGTACAGCTTTCTGCATGATCTTATATAGATGTTCATTTAGACCCAGCTTTTTTATGTTTTCTAGGAGGTTCTTCGGAATGACTCCAGTGGTAGAAAGAATAATAGGTATCGTCTGGGTACTTTCCATTCTCCATTGTCTTCTTATTTGTATTTCCAAATCTCTGTACTTGGCGATCTTTTCGTTGTACTTAACACGCAGATTATTGTTGTTAGGTATCGCCACATCGATTAGAGTTGTTTGTCTTGTTAGTTTATTAACTAGCACGAGATCTGGTCTATTATGTGCTACAGTTTGGTCTGTGAGCACAGTGCGATCCCAGTATAGCTTGTAGTTGTCATTCTCAAGCATACTATAATAGCTATCTCTTGATGGAGGATCTTCCCTACTGAGTAATGCCGTTCCTTATATTCAGTTGCAGCAAATGCCTGGCAGCCTCCGGTAAGATGTTGGATCGTTTCTTGGACTTGACATCCATATCGGCATTTGTCGTTTTGGACCTGAGGGTCTTTGACAATATATTTCAGGTAATTTTTGGTTGGTATAACCTGATCCTGAATGGCGAGTAATGAACCTTCTGTTTCAGGGAACATCTTTCCTGATGTCAGCCAATAGTTCGACGCTATATTGTCGACATAGTCTTGACTGACCTCATTCGGATGTCGCCCGTGTAGAGGTTTACCCATCCAGATGCGCATTTTTTCGTTCTTAGTAAGATGGTCTATGCGCATTTCTTGTTCCCTCAGTTTGATCGGTGTTGTATCATCTACTGCACAAATCGCGAGATGAAGAGTAGATGTCTCCGCCTGCACCTGAAAATTATTATTATTATTATTATTATCCCAGATTTAGCCATACGGCTCACACTCCCTCTAAGGGGAAAATTCACTCATCCCAGATACCTACGGTATCAAAAGGATTGAGCTCTGGTGGGACTCTTTCCGTGTTATCGAGCCCTAGGTGACTTGGTATTTTATTTTATTATTATTATTATCCAGATTTAGCCATACGGCTCACACTCCCTCTAAGGGGAAAATTCACTCATCCCAGATACCTACGGTATCAAAAGGATTGAGCTCTGGTGGGACTCTTTCCATGTTATCGAGTCCTAGGTGACTTGGTACGTCGGTGTATCTCCTATAAATTTTCGCACGCATCTAGACGTCGAAAGTAGCACAGCTTTCTGCATGACCTTATATAGATGTTCATTTAGACCCAGCTTTTTTATGTTTTCTAGGAGGTTCTTCGGAATGACTCCAGTGGTAGAAAGAATAATCGGTATCGTCTGGGTACTTTCCATTCTCCATTGTCTTCTTATTTGTATTTCCAGATCTCTGTACTTGGCGATCTTTTCATTGTACTTAACACGCAGGTTATTGTTGTTAGGTATCGCCACATCGATTAGAGTTGTTTGTCTTGTTAGTTTATTAACTAGCACGAGATCTGGTCTATTATGTGCTACAGTTTGGTCTGTGAGCACAGTACGATCCCAGTATAGCTTGTAGTTGTTATTCTCAAGCATACTCTCTGGAACGTATTGATAA